ACTGGGGAAAACATGAAGAGTTCTGTTCCGAGGAAAGATGACACACTGTCTGTGGGGTGTGCTCAGTGAGACGTGGTTGGGGAAGGATAGTGACCATGTGTGCCAGTCTGCGCTAATAAACTGCCATCACCTGGACATCTTAAACAATAGCAATTATTGTCTTAGTGTTCTGGAAATCAAGGTGTTGATGGGGTTGGTTCCTATGTGAGGGAGAATCTGTTCTCTGCCTCTGTTTCAATTTCTTGGCAACCTTGGGGATTCCTTGGCTTGGAGATTGTCTTCTCCCATTACAGGAGTTTTAGGGCAAAAGCTCTGACTCTGGGAGTCTCAACAGACGAGGCTCTACCACTTGTCCCATATGCTAATCAAAGAGGTTACAGAGTAGGCGGGGAGGGCGCAGAGAACGATTACATACACGTGGCTGCATTGGGAAGAGCCCACGAAGGAGTTCAGTGTCCCCAGGTCTGTCTTCATGGGGCTAACAGGAGCTTTGTGATTTTTTTTTTTAAAAAAGAAAAGATGAAAAAGAGAGGGGTTGGGGTTGGGTAGCTGACAGGCAGGGAATCTTGTCTAGACAGTGCTGTTGCCTCTTGAGGGAAGCATCTGGGTTCCACGGTATACTGACATCTGCTCCGGGTATAGGGATAACGGATAGTTATCCTCATTTGCAAGAAGGGGCTCTGTCTACAAGGCTCTCTGTTGCTTGGGCAGTTTTAGTCCTTTGTCATAAGGATGTTTATTGCTCAGGACTGTCTTCCCAGAATTCAAGGTAACTAGAAGAGGATGACCAGGTGAGAACAGGTGGGGATAAAGAGATCAGCCAGGCAGGCACTGGTGCTCTCACTCTCACCCGAGTCCCCGCATCACCTTCCCTCCGTATGTGTCTCTGCCTGCATTCCCGGTTTGTATACAGATGCCAGTCGTATGAGATTGCACTCCACGTTAATACTCTTGTTTTAATTTATCATTTGCAAAGACCCTCTTGAAGGCAGATAAGCCCCCGACAGTCAGAGAGACCAGGAAGAGCCGAGGATAAAAAAGATGGCGAATGTCCACTTCATTTTCACC